GGGAGTGAAAATGTCCCTCCAGTTTTAAGAGGCTCTAACTTTCAAGGCCTATGGCCCTCTCCGGAAATTTTTTTGACAAAGTTTATTTGAAATTTGAAAAAAAGAAAATCATCTCAATACTCCTCAAAAAGCTTGAACAACTCACCATTTAACGCAGGTGGAGATAAACTTGGTGTGGGCATCTGGGCTAGGTAAACTGAACGATGGATTGAGAAACTGCTCGATCATCTATAAATTTATAATGTTGATAGGAAGAAATAGAGATGGTTCTACAGGACAGACCTCAGCGATTTGGTTGAGCACCTTTTCAGAGGGGTCTATCTTTCCCTTCATCAATGTTTCCGCATATAGTTCTGCTAGATCGATAGAACCGAGGAACTGACTTACTGCAAATTGAGAAGCGTAAATGTCCAGCTATCACTGTTTTACAAAAGCTGCTTACGGTACCTTCAGCCATTTTCTTACAGCCTGAGTGAAGTACGTCAAGAAGCTCAACGTACTTCTCCTGTTGAGTCATTCGAAAATACAAAGTTCGATACACCTGATGTGCTTCATAATATTCTCCTTTGTCGATACAGCTTTGTGCTTTTTGTTCCAGACGTGATGGCTAGAATTATTGTACTGATATTTGAAAAAGAAAAGATGCAAGCTCAGCTCCTCAGCTTTGATCCTCCCTCTAAGATAACTAAGACCGATTACACATAGGTACCTTATTCATAACGATTGCCAATACAATGTACCAGACCAGCTCTTTCTCCACCACGATAAAAACTCTGAAACGGGGAGATGAGCGAACTTTTAATAACAATAAAAACTGAGAAAGAAAATTTTTTTGAATTGCACTAAATGCAAGGGACAACGTGTCATGCCAATATAAGCCACGTTACGTTTCAAATTCGATAAAAGGAGCGAGATTTTAACGCTGAACTATCCATAAATGCACATTTGTGCAATACTTGCGTTGACGCAAAGTTGCGTACCGTACTTTGAATCAAATAATTTCTGATAATCGTCTCTTTCTTATGGAAGTTGGCATCTTTCTCAAATTTGGAAATCTTTATCAGCCCAGCTAACTATACAGTAAACGCAGTCATGATTTTTTCATTGCCATCAAGCTTTGCAAATGGATCTTTCGCTGTAAAGATTGTTGACGGCTTTCAGATGGGGTCGGACGAGAGTTTCGTCATTCTTTATGGATCGCATACTGGACAAGCAGAATCTATAGCTAAACATATAAAGGAAAGTGGTGAGCTGCTTGGACTTCGGCCACGTTTATACGCTTTGGATGAAAATGAGCGACAGGTTGGTATTTTTCAAAACGCTGTTTCGTTCAAGTTTAAGATGCAATCTTGAGAGTAACTTATCCCTATATCTGCACTTTACAGTACTACATAGAGCGAGAATCGCTTGCAGTGGTCGTTGTTTCGTCCACCGGTGATGGTGATGCACCGGAAAATGCTGCTCGTTTTGTTCGGCGTCTATCAAGGAAGAGCTTGGAAAAAAATTTTCTCGAGAATTTGGATTATGCTTTACTTGGTGAGTCAGTTCATAGCCACTGAGTTAGTTGTTAGTGCAATCTGATTATCTTTGTTACAGGTCTGGGTGACTCAAATTACTCCACATTTCAAGGAGTTCCCAAGAAGGTTGACAAAATATTCAAGAACCTTGGTGCCTCTCCGATAATTGAAACTGGACATGCTGATGATCAAGAGGGGTTGGTGAGGAACTTCGCGTATTTATGCTATTGAGCCCTTACGCACGCGCCATACTTGATCCGCTTAATCCACTTGATCCGC